ACCAGTCTGAGAAATTGTCAGACTAGAATAGATTAAGGAGACGCATTAATTAAATGTAATGTGGTATTCTAGATGGGATCGTGGTTCAGAAGAAAACATTTGGTAAAAACTGAGGAAATCCAAAGGAAATATGGATGTTAGTTGTTGGAACATGTAAATCATAGTAATGTAAGCTCTTAACAATAAGGGAAAGTGGGTACAGGGAGACTCTGAAGTATCTTATTTAACATCTTATATATTGTAAACTATTCTGAAGTTAGAGTGTTTGTTTAGATATTTTTAAAGAATAATTGTGATGAAGCCCATCAGACATATTTAGATCCAAGGGTTAATAATTAAATTTAAAAATAAACTCTTCAACATCATTTTGACAGGGAACCAATTGTCTTGAGAAATGGCAAATAAAGAGAATCATTTATTTATTTATGCATTTTTTGAATACTTTTACTGGGGGCTCTTACAGCTCTGATCATAGTCCATACATTCATCCAGTGTGTCAAGCACATTTGCACATGTGCCGTCATCATCATTTTCAAAGCATTCTCTTCCTACTTGAGCCTCTGATATCAGCTCCCTATTTCTTCCCCTCCCTTCCCCACTCACCTTCCCTCACAAGCCCTTGATAAGTTATAGATTATTATTTCCATATTTTACATCGTCCTCCGTCACCCTTCACCCATTTTTCCGTTATTCGTCCGCCTGGGAGGGGGTTCTAGATTGAGCCTTGTGATCGATTCCCCCTCGCCCCCTCCATCCCCTAATCCTACTGGTATCTCTACTCTCATTGTTGGCCCCAAGGGGTTTATCTCTCCTGATTCCCTGTGTTGTGGGCTCTTATGTGTGTAAATTTTTACCACTGGGTAAATAAATAAAAAAGAAATGATAAAATTATGAGCATCATTATTTCGATACCCACTCCCCCAAGTAAATACATCAGTGGTTCATGGCACATAATATCAACAGCTGTTAGATCACACCAAAAAGTATTGCTGCTAGCATCCTAATTCATACATGCATGAGTGTATTATTTTTTTTAAGAAAACATAGCTAACCATGTCTCTGATCACTGGGTGACTGTAGACAAGTTCTCTTGGTTTTCTTAGAGTGCTTCCAAAAAAGGCCCAACCAAAACAGTGACTTCCAGGGGGATCTGGTGGGCCAGTTAAATTCGCTCAAATTTTGGTGACCTTTTTTTTTCCAGATTACAAAGGTTTTTTCAAAGTACATGGGATGATCACAGGCGATTATTAGGAAGTTTTAAGACAATTGAAAACTGCTCTTATGGGGCACAGTGGGGGGGGGCAGGAAAGTTTCACTGAGGAATTTAGAATTTAGTTGGAAAACCCCATCCACCCTCAGCCCTGATCTTGTCCCATCAGATTTCCTTTTGTCCCTTTGAACTTCTTTCTGTGCCCCAAACTCCAAAACATGGAAAATGCACCTGATTGGAGTCCCCTGATGATGCCACAACTCCCATTTTGATGTGATGTAAATTAAAGAGCACAGAATTCTTCGGTGAAGGGTTAAAGAGATGGAAGCACCACCATCAAACGTGCATAGACCTAGATAGAGGATATACTGACAGGGAATTCACATTGTGATGTTTTTTAAATGGTTGCCATGATTTTCTAACCCTATTCTTTGGCTTACCAACCTATGTGTCCTAATGAAAGAACACAGCACCACATATAATCATGATGAAAGGATTTGACAGATCAAATATAAATCCAGCTGCCAATCTGCAACTGGATCCAACAAGATCATGTTGGACTGAACCTTGACTATGCAATCAGCAAAATCAAGACTTTGGGGAAGTAACTACAGGTTAACTGCCTTTGATTCTTAAACAGATAACTTGTAAGAAAAGGAGGATAGTAGATTAAAATATTTTCAAATGAGCAAGACTTGTTAACTCGGAGTGTGGTGAAGAAATCAGATGGTGCCTGGCTATCAAAAAGAATAGCTTCTAGAGTCTTAAAGACTTGTCTTAAAGCAAGCAGCCATCTAAGTGAGGTGTCAGCTAAGCCGACCTGGAAGGAACACACCAGCCCATATAATCCAAGGATTATAAATATTAAAATCCAAGATCAGAAGAGGGAATTGTATTAGAACTTAAATCCTGAGCACCCAGTTTGCACAAAGGCTATGGATGGTAGTGAAAACTCAAAATCTATTTGCAGAGTCCCTATAGAGATTAAGCCTTCATGGAATTCCTTTAGACAATTGCCTAGGGATGTGAATAATCTTGTCCTTAGAGAAAGTGCATTGGAAAGTAATCTACAGGTGTAGGTAGGTTAAAATTTAACATATTATCACTTGCTTTCCCTTTTGTTAAACTTTTCATTTGTTCCAGTTTCTTTTATCTTCTGTTTTCTCCTGGATTGAGGATTTTCTGTGTTTTCTTTTGCTGTCATCATTGTATTTGTATGATTGTCTTACGTGATGAAATCCAGGATAAGTAGAGCTATAGAGACAGTAACTAGATTTATAGTTACTAAGGGTTATGGCAGGGAAAATTGGGGGGTAATGGGGAGCTAATTATAGGCACAAGAATGAAAAGAAGCTTGCATAACTCTAATAAGCCATTGAATTGTGTGGTACGTGAATTATATGTCAATAAAACTTAAAAATAAATATATAAAACAGTGAAATATATGTTTTGAAGAAACCTTATGGGGCTGTACTACTCTGTCCTAAGTTGGAATTGACTTGACAGCAATGGAGCAAGGATGAAAGAGCTAGAAAAAATATATCATAATTTGTTATAATTCTTTTATGATCATTAATTTTTCTTTAATGATAAAAAGCCAAAAATCATGCTAAGTGAAAAGCCAGTCACAAAATGCCACGTATTATATAGCTCAATATATTAGAAATGTTTAGAAAAGGCAATTCTATGACAACAGAGGTTCCTTCACTTACTACCATTAAATCAATTGCAACTCATATCAACGCTGTGTAGGATAGGGTAGAATGCTCTTTTGGATTTCTGAGACTGGAAATCTTTCTGAGAGCATACACCTTCTCTTTCTCCTACAGAGCAGCTCATGGGTCTAACACTCTGACCCTGCAATTAGCAGCCCAGTGCTTAGCCCACAACACCACCAGGGCTTGTTGACCGAGGTCTTTCGATGGTGTAAACAGTTTGTGCTAAACTGCTCCCTTAAAGATTGGTGGCTCAAATCTATCCTGTATTGTTGTGAAGGATAAGCCTGGTGATCATTTTTCTTATGAGTGTAGCTAAGAACGACCCTTTAGAGCAGTTTTATAGCATTCAGGGTTGCTGAGTTGGAATTAACGTGATAGCAACTAAACAATAACAGCATGGAAATGAGTAGTGATTGACAGGGACTGGGAAGAGGGGTCCATGGGAAGCAATTAGCACAGAGGATATTTGGGACTGATAGAAAATTAAAAGCGGGTAGCTATGATGTCTGGGGATGCACACTTGGGTAATAAAGCTATATCCAGGAGGATATTACTCTAAAAGGTTACTTTTGGAGAGAGAAAAGGGAATTTGATTTGAATGAGGCACATGGAATAGGCTTCTGAGATGAGTCGAAGAGGTACCCCGTTTCCCCAAAAGTAAGACATCCCCCCAAAATAAGACCTACTTACAGTTTTGCCTCTCGCTCAAATACAAAGTATCCCCCTGAAAATAAGACCTCCCCGAAAATAAGGCCTCCCCGGAAGCTACCATGACTCTGGACCACCGCGCAGTTCACTGTTGGCCGCAGCACAGCCAGAGCAGACAGGAAGTGTGAGATCTCTTTTAAAAAAACAATAAACAATAAATGTGTACTGTATTCTTCTTCATGGAAAAATAAGACATCTCCTGAAAACACCTAGCACATCTTTGGGAGCAAAAATTAATATAAGACACTATCTTATTTTCGTTGAAACAGGGTGCCGTATATACTCGAGTATAAGCTGAGTTTTTCAGCACATTTTTTAATGCAGTTTTTGTGGTAAAATTATGTGCCTTGGCAGATATTCAGGTTGGCTTATACTTGAGTATATGTGGTATTTTTTCATGGCTTCATTAAAGATTGACGGGGTATTTGCCTTCTAAAACACATAAAATGTGTGTGTATGTCCACTGTGGGGAAAAATTAAGGCTAACTGCTCCCATAAAGATTAACATACTTGGAAACCCTATATAGCATCACAATGAATTGGAATAGACTCAATGATTGTGGGTTTGGTTTGGGTTGAAGTGTGTCTGTTAATATAGTATGTGTTGTTTCCTGTTTCTGTTTTTGCTTTATAATAAAAGGTTTTTGGTTTTTAAAGAATTCTAGATTTGATCTTCATATAATGTCATTTCTTATAGTAATGAGAATCTGTCATGGGCAAGTTCCAGGGTTGTCAAAAGAATTGCTACTGTATCTTACAAATGAAAGCTTGATGCAAAAGGGAGATTATTTCTTTTAGCTGTGTACTACATGGCAAAATTAGATCAATTGCAAGCATGTGCAAAATAACACAGGTGTTTTCCAGTAGATCCAACTGGCCTGTGATTTTCCATTTTACACACATAGTTAACCATATGACTACAATAAAGCAAATGTGGCTGGGGGGGGCGCGGCAGGGAGTCACCTATAGTCCCACCTCCCTAACATAAATAAATAACAAAAAATTTTTAATTTAGTGCTTTTGTTTTTCTGAGATTCTGTTTGACTGGTTGGGTTTTTTTTTTTTAATTTTTATATTTGACCATTTTAGCAATGATTTGTATCCCCAAATAGAATTCATTCTGAGGGACAACTTTGTTTTTACCTTCTGTAAAATTTTCTTATTATTATTTAACATACAATGTGTTAAGCAATATAAGTGCTCAACCCACTTCTAGGTACAGAGTAGACAGCAACCTAGATTCCTTGTTCTTGCTTTGTGTGAATTCCTTGTTCTCATTCAGAGTGGAGCTGAAAACCCTGACTTCTGCTTAACATACTGGTGTTACTTTCTCACCCCACTTTCTCATTGTTCCACTTGAGCAGAGTTCAAAAATGCAGCTCAGCAACAGGAAGATCAGGAACAAAAGGAGGAAGAAGACGATGAAAAAACTGTGCACAGAGCCCGGGATTGGGATGACTGGAAGGATACCCATCCTAAGGGCTATGGCAACAGACAGAACATGGGTTAACTGTCCCATGACAAGATGGAAGTAGAGGAGCTTACATCATCATCTCCAAGGAAAGCTGTACTGTTTTCACCTCCCTGGGCTCCTGCTTCAGCTGTCAACAACAAAAGCAAAGACAATGCATCTTGCTTTGTGTCCATTAAAGTGTCAAATGATTAAGTGTGTATTTGTACCCTAGAGATAAGCCAGTGATCTTGTTTCAGCATTATTCTCATCATGGTGTATTACGATTTCTTAAGTGGAAAGGAATAAGTTCTGGGAAATGGCTCTGTATAATCAATGGCTGTATGAATTATCTGTAAAAAAAACAATAAAGCCCCGTCTATCATGAACCTCTGCAAAATAATATGGGTATCAGTTGTCTTTTTTTTTAGGGAGGAGTGGCGGGGTATTCATCTGTGCGTAAGGACCCAATCATCATTGGGCAGAGAATCGCCCAAAATCAGAATTACTCAGATTAGCTGGGCTTTTCTCCCTCCTACTGAACACATGGTGTGAAGCTTAGGTGAAACACCCCAATAACAGTGCTTTATAAGGGTTGAGCACCAAGTTCAGGACTTTCCCTGCCTCATAGCACTGCTTTCAGGAAGGAGAGCAGTAAGTGAATTAACCGTGAATGGTTAGACTATTTTCCATTTCTATCTACCTTGTCCTTTTTATCTTGACCAGTAACCATAGCTTACCAAACCCTATTGGGCTTTTTAGACTAAATCTCTACCAAGAACAAATAATTTCATATTTCTCCCTTGGAGCTGTTGAATTCGAACCACCAGCCTTGCAGTTGGCAGCCCCAATACCTATCCCACAGTGCCTTAGACGTGTTGGGTTTCTGCAAATTGCAACATTTATTGAAAGTCTACATGTGAGATACAGCACTAAATACTGTAAAGGAGGCAAAGAATTAGGTATTCTTAATAAGATGAAGAGAGAAAAAATAGGGAAGCAAATAAGCAGTGGCAGAGTCATGCCCTTATCATGGGAAAATTTGTCATAATCCTTTGGGTGAGCAGTAGTTTCAGACTGAAGGCTGACCCCTGAATTACCCCTATAGACCACTGTGACTCCCCTTGTGCCTATGCTGTGCAGTAATTTACACAGCCTGTACCTGTCCTCAACAAACATAAAATGGTGTTCATTTTACTGGTTTAGAGGTGCCTGGAATCACACAGATAGTTGAGTGCTCAGGAGGAAGATAACAGATGACATTGAAAGATAACCTACTTTCTGGAGTAGAGAGATGTCTTCAGCACTGGGGAGATACCTTTCAAAGGCTGCCATATGTTAATGTGTAAAGAAAACAATTGTTCCATGTAGTTTTGGTACACTTAGGTTTTCTTTTAAGAGGAAGATGACCAACCTTTTCCTAGTGTGTCTAGTCTAGATTAGGAGAGTGTTTTAAAAAGGAGACTCAGTTTCCTCTTGTTTATTGGGTGGTGAGTGGAGGACTGTCAGGTGATGAGTAGGAGGTTGTGTTTAGTGGGAGATGACAGGAAAAAAAGACTACCAGTATATTTGTATATGCTTGATAAAAGGACTCCTCTAGTGCTTACAACATGAACTGGAACTGGTAGAGATAAAATTCCCCCAAAGATTTGTTCAGCAAACAGATTTTCTGCTCTTTATTACTGCCAGGCTGGCTTTCTAGCAGTGGTCCATTCCTTACTCTTGGGAGTCCGCTGTGAGTCAGTTCATTCCCAAATCTTAGGCCAAATTGAAGTTGGCCCCTTGGTCAACGTCTTTGTAAATATGGACCCTTCATAAGGTCCAGTTTGATTAAGCCCCCTCATATATTCTGATATCTAAGAGACAAGCCAGACAAAATAGTTTTGAGTACTGGCTTTAAAAATTACAAACTGACCTTGAGCACACATTTCTGAAATGCAGTTTCCTCAGTGTATAAAAATATCTTATGGAGTTGTTAGAATTAAATGGATAATGACAACTGAAGAATAAAAGCTTTCTGTTTGTATGAACTCAGTGACAACAGTGTGACCACTAAGAACAACAGGAACTGAATGGCTAAGTGTTGGGCCTCTGAAAGACTAGGCACTGGACCTAGCACTTTCACATACTGTTACCTCAACATTCACAACAGACCTGCAAAATAGGTAGCATTATCCTAATTTTATTGATGAGAAAGCAGGCCCAGAGAAGCTGGTTTTCTTGTGTTTGCACTAGTAAAAATACTTGTTCTTTTAGTTAATGTGTTTTAAAGCTACTCAAAAAGAAGAAGCATCTTTAATAATCCAAACAAAAAATGTCACATATATCATTGGAGCTCTAGTAATTCCTTCTTAGTTGACTTACCAAAGTGAAGGTTGTGCTAGCTCCCCCGTCATTCCCCTACTCAGCCAGGGGTGCATGGTGGGGTGATTGTGAGAAGAGGGAGGCAGTGAGCAAGCTCACCTTTTTTTTTAAATCGTTTTATTAGGGGCTCATACGACTCATCACAATCCATACATACATCAATTGTGTAAAGCACATTTGTACATTCAGTGCCCTCGTCATTCTCAAAACATTTGCTCTCCACTTAAACCCCCGGCATCAGGTCCTCATTTCCCCTCCCTCATGAGCCCTTGATAATTTATAAATTATTATTTTGTCATTTCTGAGCAAGCTCATCTTCCTCCATTTTCTTCCCCAGTTCACTCCTCTAGAGTGCAAGAGAAACCAAAAAGATCCACCTTCTCTACTCCCACCAGAGCAAGGGTTTTCCAGGGTGTCAGAGGGAGTTGAGCTTGGTGGACTGTGGGAGATGAGACATCTTAAAAGCTTTTAACCAATAATAATAATAATAATTTATAGTTTGTAAGGTGATTTTGCATTCATAGCTTATTTAACTCAACAGCCTGTAAGACAAGAGAGGATGTTTTTTATCTTACTGTAGAAGAAACTAGCTTGGGAAGTGAATGACTTCTTTTAGAAGGGCCCAACTCCATGATGTCCTGAGTAGAGGTCCAGTGACGACTGGGAAACCAGTTCACTTTAGCCATAGTATTTACCTTTAATGGCTGTCATGTGGAAGCTAGTTAAATTTGGGAAAGATGAATTCTGGTCACTATTTTTTGGAATGCCTTTGCACAGTGATTTGTCCTTTCTACTCTTGTTCCTTTCAACACCCTAGTGAAAACAAGAAGACAGGACTGAAAGAGCTGCGCTCAAGCCCAGAAAGGTAAATTAAAGTCTCACTTCTCAGGACTCTGATACTCCATAAGTAGAAGATCCCTGGAAACTTACTTTTGTTTAAAATAATTTGAAAGGGGGGAATTTTTTAAAAACCTAAAAACACCTCTCTGTATCATCTGAACTACAGAATGTCCTCTGCTTTCTCATCAGCAAAGTAGGCACAGTGCCACCTGTGATGGATTGAACTGTGTCTCCTACCCTCCAAAATAATGTGTGGAAATCTTAACCCCTGTGAGTTGGTAGTGAGCTTGGTTTTGGGTTTATTACCTTTTGGTTTACCTTTGAATGGGTTTTCTTGATTATATTAATGGGTCATAACAGTGAAGAATGTCCTAAACCTAATGACTTTTGTGTTATAAGGAATAGCATAGACATACCGACAAGTGAACACAAATGAGGAGAGGGGGTGATATATAAATAGTATCTGATAAGACAGAGGCAGAGAAATCTACAACTCCAAGAACTCAAAAAATGATCAGCTATTAGAAGCTGAGATATGGTCTAATGGTTCAGCTACTAACGAAAAGGTCAGCAGTTGGATGCCACCAACCGGAACACAGAAGAAAAGACCAGGCGATGTGATCTGCTCTCATAAGGACCATAGCCTAGGAAATCCTGTGGGACAGTTCTGCTCTGCTACATCGACTCTTAGGACGCAAAATTGACTCAAAGGTCCACAACAGAAGCTGAAATAGACAAAAAAGGATTTTCACCTAGAGACACACCCTGAACTTGAAATTCTACTAAATTATGAGAAAATGGTTTGCTCAAATCTTGTGGTATTTCTGTTACAGTACACTAAGCTACTTGGGCACCACCCATCTCTGTTAGTCAGCCTACAGCAATATAGTATTGTTAGCACTCTCTTTGTAAAACACATCTCCCTGACACTTGTGTAGCATTTCCTCACAGATTCCTTTTAACTCGCTCATTCATCTAACATACAACTCAACCTGGTCCGACCACTCATATTTCAAAACAGAAATGTGGGTTCTAGTTCACTGCTTCTGTCATACCCTTTCCCAAATGTAGACATCTACCCTACCCACTCACAGGCCATACGGCAAAGTAAATGATTACAGAAAGCATATTGTAAAGTTTAGAAATATAACTCAAGAATGAGGAGTAAGGGTAGTAGGCTGTTAATAAATTAAGAGGACTAAGGAGAGAATAGGAAATACCTTTTTTTAGGTGGATGAAGGGAGACAATGGACAGTGTAAGACATGAAGGAACAATAATAATATATAATTGATCAAGTTTCATGAGGGAGGGAGGGGAAAAAAGAAGAGCTGATACCAAGGGCTCAAGTAGAAAAAAATTGTTTTGGAAATGCTGATGACAACATATGTACAAGTGTGCTTAATACTATTGAATGACATATTGTTATAAGATATGTAAAAGCCCCCCAATAAAATGACTTTTTAGAAAAGAAATACCTGTTTTAATCCAGTTTTTTTTATTTTCTTTTTGTGTGCTGTGATGACAGACAAAGGAAAAAACTGCTCTGTGTAGTGCAAACCAGTTTTTTGCACATGTATGCCAGACCATATTTGGCAAGTGTATGTGAAAGACTGGTGAACAAAGTGTTAAATTTTGGCTTCTTGTCTGAACTAGCAACAAATTTCTCAAAGGAAGAACAAAGCAACTATATCATAGGCCTGTCTAGCTCAGTGTGATAACAGGAACAATAATAATTGCTATTGTGTATTGAATACCTTCTATATATTAGAGAGCCTAAGCTAAACTTTACTTCCATTGAAGTGATGCTGACTCATAGTGACCCTATAGGACAGGGTAGAACTGCCTGTGAGTTTCCAAGACTGTACATTTTTTATGGGAGTAGAAAGCATTGCTTTCTTCCACAGAGCAGCTATTGGTTTCAGACTTTGAATTTAGCAACCCAATTCATAATCACTATGCCACCAGGGCTCCTAAGGGAAACACAAGCCACAATGCTTGCTGTCTATTCATTCTAATTCATGGTAATGTATTGAATTTGAGAGAAGAACCTTGAGGTTTTCTTTACTGTGATCTTTATGGAAACGGATTGCCAGACCTTCTATGAGTACATTATGCCAATTGACCTTGGTGTCTCCTGAGATTATGGCCTTGAGCTTCAAGGACTCATTCTCTCAAGGTGTATGGTTATATCTAAAAAA